GGAGGGATCCTGATGGGCGGAGGAGGTAGAGCGCTGTCGAGAGGGGATAAGCAGACTCGTGAAGTTAGTAAATGAAGGAGAGCGAGAGGTCGCAGCGATACCCGCTTCTTCTCCTCGCCTCGTCCTGCTGACGAGCGATCGCTCCGACCGAATCGGCCTGATCAGCGAAGCGACGTGGCAAGAAATGACGCATCTGCCGATGCAACAGCTCGTGCTCAAGAAGTCGTCCCCAAGCCCTACACCTTCGCCTTCTTACTCTTCCTCACCTTCCCCTCTCCCTCCTCCTCCTTTACCTTCTCCGCCTTCCGCTTCTTGCTTGCCTTGGCCGTCTTGACAACCGGCACCGCAACCTCCGGCTCAGGCGACCGGCTGCTCTCCCTGTCATCCTCATCCTCGTCCTCCGAAGCAGACGAATCCTCATTCCGCCATGCGATGCCCTGTCCAGCCGCCGTCGCCCGTCCAGGTCGCGGAATGCCCGTTCCAACACGGTCGTCGTCGTCTCCATCGAATTCGCTCTCCTCCTCAGCGTCGCTGTCGGACTCGTCGTCCGAGTCGCGCGCACGCTTCTTGCCCTTCTTGAGCAGAGTCGAGGAGGCAGTGGGCGCGGAGGCGGTAGAGATGGATGAGCGGATGGCGGCGATGGCAGAGGGGGAGAAGGGGTCGGCGAGGAGGGAGCCGGTGCAGGAGAGGAGCGAGTTCGTGTTCGTCAAACTGCGCGAAACAAACATCAGCCCGGAAATCTCGCTCATGTGGAGAGAAGGTGTACGCACTCAACGAGGGTAAACTCCAGGCGACCGTCTGCACCGCCCAGCGGTTCTCGCGACTTGCGGTGAACCCACCATCCCTTCTCCGCATACGCGCCCTCCTCCTCCTCCTCCTTGACCTTCACTTCTTCCGCGTGCTCGTCCTCCTCTCCCTCGTCTTCCTCACGCTTCTCCGCCTTGGCAACGACCTTCGCAACATTCGTCGCAAGCGGTACTATCGCGTTCCGTCGCTCCATCACGACGGTAGGGACGGGGCATTCGGGATCGTACTCGTAGGTCGAAGTGGGGATGTGAGAGGAGGGAATAGAGGCGTTGAAGAGGTTGTGCAGAAGAAGGGAGACGTGTGAGGGTGTGGCGAGGGTGAGAGTGCCGACTGACGAGGGATTCGCATCAGTTCGGTTCATAGAAGCTATTGGGGAGAGGGGCGCGAACTCACCAACTTTCATCCCCACTCGTGGTCGCCAACCGACACCTTCCCACTCCACATTTGCGAGAGTAAAGCCGCTACCGTCGACCATGGGCAGCGTCTTCAGCCGAACAACCTCCTGCTCCTCGTCGTCTTCGTCTCCGTTTGCGGCGCCGGGTTGAGGCGAAGAGAGCAGTGATCGCGGGTCCTTAGCGGACACGGAATGAAGGTTATCGAAGGGGCAGAGGGCGGCGGGGAAGGAAGCGGCGGGGTGGACGAAGCGAGGAGTCGGGGAGAAGGACAGCAGGACGGCACGAATGGGCGGCAGGTAGCTGTGCGGTCGCCGCGATGCATGCATCAGTCACTGAGGTCGAGTACACGCAACTGAACAGCGCAATGAGGGGTACTCACCGCATAACCCATCCCGCGAGGACCTCCCTGACGCCGTCCATTCCTCCGTCGTGGCCCGGGAACATGTTGTCACCCTTTCCAGCGAAGACTGGCGCGATTGGCAGCCTCATCGTCGCCTTGAACGAGACGAACTCGGACGAGGACGAGGGGTCGCTGCGGACCGAGGCGAGGCGGAGTGAGGCGGCTGCTGTTGCGGCTGCCATGGTTCGGGCGGTGTAGCAGGGTGTCCCAGCAGTCCAGCGAGTCTATCCAAGCCCTCCAAGCGTGCGTGCGAGCGAGTTGTCGGCGGTTGACCTCGTCCAAGCTGAGCGAGCGGGTCTCTCTCGCCAGAACAAGTCGCTCGCTCGCTCAAACAGCGCTTGTACGGTGCTGTACTGCTTCCAGGATGTCTGGAAACCGACCTGAACACATCGCGCCGCCCGAAGTCGTGCGTTCCCGCGTCGTCTCCTCGTCTCGCATCCTCATCAGGTAACGGAGCAACTCGACCAACCTCGCCCGCACGCGCAGTTCTACAATGCTGGAGAGGCGGCCAAGTACACCAACAACACGCGCGTCCAGTCTATCCAGGCGGAGATGACCTACCGCTGCCTCGAACTCCTCGACCTGTTCGTTCACCCCTCCCCACTTGGCGTCTTCCGGCCTCTAGCTCACCACGCTCCCTTCCTCACGCAGCCCGACGTCAGCCATGGACGAGGAGGTCCCGCGATCAAGCTTCCTGCTGGATATTGGCGCCGGAAGTGGGCTTAGCGGCGAGATCTTGACGGAGGAGGGTCACCAATGGGTCGGAATGGATGTCAGCGGTGGCATGCTGGGTGCGCCCTATTCTCCGCTGCGTTGCCTGGAGACATTGCTATCGCGTGGCGGCCTCACCGTTCTTGCGCGAACTCGGAAACTAACCCGTTCTGTTGCTCTCCGCAGAGGTCGCTCTCGAGCGGGAAGTCGAAGGCGACTTGATGCTCGCCGACATCGGCCAAGGCATCCCTTACCGACCCGGTTCCTTCGACGGCGCAATCTCGTTCGTCTCCTTCCCGCTCTTCTCCCCCCACCTGCTCACCACGTCCCTCCGCAGCGTCTCCGTCCTCCAATGGCTCTGCAACGCCGACTCGTCCGCCCACTCTCCCGCCCAACGCCTCCTCCGATTCTTCACCGACCTCTTCGGCTGCCTACGAAAAGGCTCGCGCGCGGTCTTCCAGTTCTACCCCGAGAGCGATGAGCAGGTCAAGTTTATCATGACGCAGGCGACACGGGCTGGGTTTGGCGGTGGCTTGTGTGTCGACTACGTGAGTTGGGAGGGAGCTTTCTCGTTGCCGTCAGGGGATTTTTGCGGACAGCTGACTAGGCATTGATCGACTCCCGTACGTCGCAGCCCAACTCGAGCAAGAAGAAGAAGTTCTACCTAATCCTCTTCGCCGGCCAACCCATAGTCGGCGGCAAACCCCAACCCATCTCCGTCCCTCAAGGCCTGTCAGACGAGCCCTCGACCGTCTCATACGAGAAGAAGCGTGCGGATGCCGAGACGCGCAAGAAGCTCAGTCGGAAGGGCAAGGGCAAGCGCGGGTTGAAGGGTGGGGAGGGGGCGAAGGAGTTTGTGTTGAGGAAGAAGGAACTGTATAGGCAGAAGGGCAAGGAGGGCGTGCCGAGGGACTCGAAGTGCGTTCCCCTCTTGACGGCTATGTCGTCGGTCGCTTCTGCTTTACTGACTTGCCCCATTCGTTGTTGCGCACAGGTACACCGCCCGTCAACGGAAACCTCGCTTCTGACCCGCTCCTTCGCTCTCTCTCACCTGTCTCTTCGCATCGCCCGCTCGATCCTGTTGTCCTCTTTACGCAAACCTGCCATCCCATCCGCTTTCGTCCTCTCGGCAAACGAGTGAGGCGAGAGAGAAACCGTCTTGCTAAGCACAAACAACGACGCGACGCGAGGGGAGTTCTACATGCGAAAAGGACGAGAAAGGACGAGGGAAAGGGTGTATGAAAAGATGAGGACAAGCAAGTTTGTCGTGTATGTGCGAGATCGAGGAGTGTCTATGGCAGGCGAGGAGGAAAGATGACGAGGGGACTGGCGGCAACATGAGAGTCGGAAAGACTAGAGGCGGGAGTTTGGAGTCGATGCGTTTGCGGAGAGGAACCCAAAAGATGCAAAGTCGTAGGTCGGAAGGCGAGGCGAGTAAGGTCGAAGGTTTAGGCGCCGACTCGAGCGGCAGGCGGTGGGCGAGCGAGTGGGACGGACGCGACTGGCGGGGCGGGTCGGAACGCGCCTCCTACTTTCGTGAGGAGGTAGGCTTCCCAAGACGAGATGAGGTACTGCGCGCACACACATACACCCTCGCATCAGCCTCCGCGTGAGAGAGAGAGTCCGAGGGGAAGGACGCACATTCGCGATGCCGGAATACCAAACGCTCGACCACTTGAACAACGCGGTCGTCTCGCGCGCGACCTTGTCCCAATCTTGCTCCATCTCTGCACGGAGGTCGAGCAGCTCTTTCGTCCGGTCGGTCAGGATGGCCTTGGCGCCCCACTTCGTCGCCTCGATCATCTCGTTCCGCGCGTTGACCGTCCAAACCGTCAAGTCCTGTCCAAACCCTCGTCCGTCAGCACAGGTCCCCATCGAGGTCTCGGGGGCGAAAAAAGCGCGACGCACCTTTCCCTCCCTCTGACACTCAGTCCTAAACCTCTCTCCCTCATTCGTACACATACTCGCAAAGTTCATGCTAAACGTGTCGCACGCGTCCCAGAAGTACCTCCTCGCCAACGCCGGACTCATCCCGATGTGGGCGCGACGACAGTAGGGGAGGTGGCGGACTGCGGGCTCGATGTATTTCGGGTGCCAGAGGCCGAGGACTGTGTGCGGGCGAGCGTCAGCGAGTGCGAGCGAGAGCGCGGGAGAGGAAGAGAGAGAACGCACGAAGTCGCGGCGCAAGTTTCGTCTCGAACCCGTCATGTCCCTCGACAATCTCCCTCATCAGCCCAAACAACTTCTCCGGCTCGTTATCGACCTTGATGTCGATATTCAGCAAGACGTGTTCGTTCCCCGGACGCATGAGGAGGTCGATCGTCTCTTTGAACGTCGGGATCTTCTGGTGAGGAGACTTGTTGGTCCGGAGCTGGTCGAGCCCGTTGTAGTAGTTCTGCGTCTGGATTCGACCCGTGCCGTTCGTGGTGCGGTCTGCGCGAGAAGCGACGAGGGTTGGTCTGGATCCGCCCCGCGAGCGAGGCGGGCAGAGGTGGGTGAGGTGCGTTACTCACCCAGGTGCGGGTCGTGGAAGACGATGATGACGTTGTCGGCCGTGACGTGGACGTCTGCGCGCGATAGGAAGCGAGAGGGCGGAGGTGTCAGCGGGTTGTTCTCGTTCGCCAGGTTTCGGCAGGCTGCTCCCGCCCAACGTCCTCCGCCGCCGACTGAAGCGACTCCCAAGCATCGGGAGATTGAACTCGAGCTGCTGTAGACGCTGCAAGCCTTTCGGCGCGTCTCCGAACACCCACTCCTCGCCCTCCCTCGTCCCGCACGTGCAAGATCTTCCGACCTCCCTCTTGCTCGCTGCCTTGCTCGTTCCGCTCCTCGCTGCATCCGTTCTCCCTTCAATGCCCCTCCTCCCTCTCCAACCACTCAACGTCGCATCCCAAACGCGCCCTCCTCAAAAATAGCCATTCTCCTCCATCAAGACCCCTCGTCGAGTCGCGGAAAGCGCAAGAAAGAAAGAAACGCACCCGTCTCGATCCCCTCCGCTCCATCCTTAATAGCCGCCTCGAAACTAGCCAACGTGTTCTCCGGGAACGCTGCTGAAGCCTGTTGACCACCACGCCCCTCGAGAGGTCAGTACGGCCGAGAGAGAGCGAGGGGAGGCAAGGGAGACGCACGCCGCGGTGGCCCCAACACAGGGGTACGCGTTCGATCGAGGATTTCTTTGGCAGTGTTGGGCGCACGGGAGGGGAGGACATGGCGAGTGTCGCGAGGGATGTCCGGAGGAGGTGCGGAGGCGAGGGCCGAGTGAGGCGTGTGAGGCGAGCGGTGGTGGTGCGGATGGGGAGTGTCGGGTACAGTGTGCGGTTGAGAGTCTATCGTATGCGGTCACACGTGCGCACGGGCGAGAGAGAGCGCGAGAGAGTCAGCTGAGCTCGTCGAGTGGCATGTCCGAGGCGAGCGCGAGAGGGTGGCACGCGCCCTCGAGGGTGCGCTCATCGTGCTGCTGGTGTGGTGGGTGCACTCACCGTGTGTGTAGAGTGCTATCGCGCACAACCAACCGCTCCAGGAGAGAGCGTGGGAGAGAGAGAGAGCGAGCAGCCACAGCGCGCAACGCACGTTCTCCTGCGCGACTCGCTGATGTCAACGTGCGCGCTCGCTCACACCCCCTTTTCTCCCGAGCGTAGTGTAGTGTGGGCTGGCATTGCAGAAAGTGTAGTCGTACACAGACTCGAACGAATTCATCCAGCCGGGAGAGAACCGAGAGAAGAGCGCCGACTTGCGAGACGACGGGGGGTGGCGAATGGCGAGAACGGCGTCGAGCGGGTGTGGGAGAAAGGCGAACTGTAAGTAAGACTGGTTCGGACGAAGCTGAGTGGCGCAGAGGGCCGCGAGGGAAGAGTGAGAGGCGCTCAGAGACCGTCCCAGGTCTGTACGATGGACGCGCGCGTCGGGGCTGCGGGAAGAGGCGAGTCGTGTCAGTCACACCCGTACTACCGGAAGGAACCTAGCTCGGACCGCTCAACGCAGCCGAGCAAGGCACAACGGGTGACGAGACGAGACGCACCCTTGAGCTTCTTCTTCTCCTCGACAAAGACGTTCTCCGGGAGGGTGACGATCTGTCACCACGTAGGAGCAAGTCAGCCCGTCCAGCTCTTCTTCAGCCACTCGCGCGCCGACACCCCCAGCGTCGAGCGCAAGACAGGCGGAGACGACTCACAATCTCCCTATCTCCCCCAAACTTGAAGTTATCCGCCACGACCTCCTCCGAGAACCTCCTGAGCGTGTAATTACTCGTGTTGCCCGCTTTCACTTGGCGGAAGTTCCACGCGACGATGAACGGGCCGGTCGAGGTGACTATTGTGCGTTCGGGGTCGCCCGAGAGAGAGGCGTTGAACCTGTGAGCGCGGGCACGAGCGTCAGCGAGTGCGAGTGAGTGGGGAGCTTGTGGGAGGGGGAACGCACTTGGCAGGCGTGAACGACACCCCCTCTCCACCCTGCACCTCCTGCATATGCGCAACATGTTCCGGTTTGAGCGTCAACCTCCTCGGCGTCGGTTTCTCCGCCGCCGGGAAACTCCTATCGAACCCGAGTTGGCCTGCGTATTTCGACGACGAGGATTCGGGGATCATGGTGTCGATGAGGAGGAGGTAGGTACGGCATGTGGCGAGGAGCCAGCGACCGTCTGCCGAGACGTCGACGCCGATGATTGGGTCTCCGAGCGCAGGAAGGGCAGTCTTGGCGTTCTTGCCGAGCTTGTCGAACAACCGGATATCGCCTTTCGAACTCGCGACCGCCAAACGTCCAGACTCGGTCGTCGCGGCAGCTGAAAAGTCGGCCTTGGTCGCATACTGCTTGTACTCGCTCTCGACGAGCTTGGAGCCGCTCAAGCGCGGATCGATACGGAACAACCCGTTGTGCGAGTGCCCGATAAAGGTCTGTTGTTGAGTCGTCTGGGCAAACTTCGAGTCGGGGAGGAAGTTGGAGACGGAAAAGTCGGAAGACACTTTGTACTCGTCGACCACCTTGCCCGTCTCGAGGTCGAGGCGGTAGAGCGAGCCTGGCGCGAGCGGGTTTTGCAGGATCATCGATGTGTCTGCGCGTGCCCGTGACCCAGAATCAGCTGCTAGCTTGTAGGGGAGCTCGGGGAAGGTGAGCGGGAAGCGCGCCGACGCACCCTGGTTGTGCAGCATCACCTTGCCCGGCGTGAAGCCCTTCTTGTCCGGCGTCGCGATGTTGACGATGCTCGTCACAAACTTGAGCTGCACCCGTCCACCAGCACCATATCAGCCCACCCGTCTCGCAGAACGACGGCACGACTCAGCCGGAGTTTCGGGACAAGACGCACCTTCTTGCCACCCTCGCGCTGCTGCTTGAACACCCCAATCATGTCCCCCTGCACGACAAACGACAAGTCCTCCTTGTAGCCGACTGCGAGAGCCGAGTTCTTCGGGCGCTTCTTCGCGCCGATTGCGGGGCGAGAGGGACGCTTCGAGGTGAAGGCGCGCGAGGCGGACGGGGCGCGGACTTGATCGTCTGTGCGCGTGCGAGACGGTCGGGGAGCGTCAGGAGGGCACAGCGGGAGAGAAAGTGTGTGACAACGCACCGGAATCGTACTCGTCGTCGTCGCTCTCCGGCACCGGCTCAGGCTCTTCCTCCTCGCTCTCCTCCTCCTCCTCCTCCTCCTCCTCCTCCTCCTCCTCCTCTTGCGCCTCGGCGTCCTCCTCCTGCGCATCCCACATCTCCGCATCCTCCTCCAACCAAGCCTTCCTCGCATACTCCCTGTCGTCCTCCTTCAACTTCCCCCAGCTCCCCGCGCCCCACTTGTCCTCAAACAACGCGGCGCTGACGCTCGCTTGCAACGCGCCGAAGGCCTCGTCCGTCGAGAGGCGTAGGAGCCACGTGTATGTGATGGGCTGCGAATCGTCAGAGGAGGGAGGAGCGGTGTAGTTGAAGACCATCGCGCGCTCCTTCTCCGCAAAATTGACCGTCGTCTCAGCCGTGATAGCTTGAGAGACCCACACGTCCGCCTCCTTGCCCACCGACTCGACAACGAGCCAATGCCCCTTCACAGCCTGACCGAGTTTGTACAACCCGGCTTTGACAGAGTCGTCTTGGAGCATGAAGAGGCCGGTCGCGCGGTCGTAGAGATGGAGAGAGGCGAGGACGGTGATGACTGGTGCGGGAGCATCGGAGGAGGCGGAGGGAGCGGCGGGAACGGGCGGACGAGGCATAGGCGGGGCGATGGGGTCTTCGACCGGGACGGGCGCGGCTTTCGCCTTACCCTTGCCTTTCGCGGGAGACGCCGTCGTCTTCTGCGCCGCTCCGCCTCCGACAGTCGCCTTCTGCATCAACTGTTGCGCCAACTCGTCTCCGCTATCGTCCTCCCCTTCCCGCGCTTCATCAAACGCATCCTCCTCATCCGAGTCAGGCGAGACGCTCGTTGTCCTTGGCCCGACGGCAGGCGCCTCGTCGTCGGACTCGGCATCGGGAGAGGTAGCGCGGAAGAGAGGCACTTTGGAGGTGGAGACGGGCGGAGGCAGGCGGGAGGTGGTGGCGGGTGTCGCGTTTGAGGCGGCGGCGGGCTTGGAGGGCGTAGCGGCGGGAGGGTCGGTTGGCGGGAGAGTCGGGTAGAGCGAAGACGAGGCGGGCTGTTGTGGGGCGCGTCTGGAAGGGGAGACTCTCGAGGATCAGTACGCGGTCTGCAACGAGTAGCTCGCGAAGAAAAGGCTAGTCTGCCCACTTACTCGACCTTGAACTCCTCCTCGAGCGTCTCCTCAACCCTCCTCGCCTCCCTCTCGTCCTCAGGCCACTCCCTCGCCTCCTTCCTCTCCCACATGCACCTCCAGCACAACCTCTCAAACTCCTCCGCCTGACTCGCACTCACGCTCCCATCACTTGGTAGGACAAACTCGAACTCGTCGTCCGGACCGTCGCCGTCGGGGTCGAGCCAGGTGAAGGAGAGCGGGGAGGAGGTCGAGCTGGAGATGGGGTCGAGCGACGGGCCGAGCGAGAGGAAGAGGCTCGAGTCGAGGAGGAAGGAGCGTTCGTCCGAGTCTGCGCGACGTTCCCGACAGATTAGCTTGTGCCTCGGAGCGGGGATAAAGACTTGGTTGGTAGGAGAGTCGGGCAACGCACTCTCGGCGTCCTCCTCGAGCAGCTGCTCCTCGCCCTCCTGGAAGGCCCTCGTCACGACAAGCTGGTACATGTGCGCATGGGTCGTCCGCCTGATTGACAGCGACGCATCAATGAAGCTGGGTGCGTCAGTCACGCGAAAGCGGCAAAAGGTCAGCGCCCGCCTTCGCAAGTAAGCCCGACAGAGGCCCACGGCTACGCACATGCACTCCCTACTTCCCTTGACCGAGTCTGGACGAACGAGGAAGAGCCTGCCGCCGTCGAGGGTCGTGAGTTCGGGAGCGGGTCCGCTCTGTCCACTGATGCCGAAGACTGCGAGTGAGCGCGCGAATGGTCAGCTCAAAACGTCGGGCAGTGGGCTTTTGCTCGTACTTACGGCGATTGACCTGTTGCCGGCGAGAGTGGGTTTGATGAGGAGTTGGATGATGATGAAGGAGTGGAGAAGTCGGAGAGCTCGTCAGCGGCAGGGTGTGGCGAGCGGATGTGCTCCTCGTACGCACGAGAAACATGCTCGCAGTGAGCTTGCTGGCCTGGCTGGCTCTCGAGGTGAGCTGTGCGGTGCAAGGGAGCAGAGCGAGGACTTGGGCGTTTGTATTCATTCCAATACAACTCGAGTTTGTATTCAGTTGGATTACCCCAGATCATTGTCTCCGTTTGTAATCAACTGAATACAAACTCATCCGGCTCGCTCTGTCTTGCTCTCGGTCACTACTCTCGCCGCTATGGCGCAGCCGGGGCACAGACGGCTTCGCTCACAGCACCAATTCGCTCAGGACCAGGCTGCGCTCGCCCAGTGGAACTCAAACAAGTGGTTCGTCGACTCTCTCCTCGCGCACCGCCTCCGACAACCAAAGACGGGCTTCGACTGCGACGACCACCGCATCGCAGGGCTTGTGGGTGGTCGTGTTGTGACGCTGGAGTATATTGTGAGGGATTGGACGCGTCGGCGGACTCGGAAGGGCGCGATCATCGTGGTCGAGGACCGTGTGTTGAGTGAGGCGAGGGACGGTTGGCGGGACTCGCTGTGCAGCACTGAGGCGGCTGGGAGGGTCCACGGCGCCTTCAGGACCTCGTGCAGTAGTCGGGCCGAGCTACCCACGGCTCCGCGCTCGTCTCACCGTCCGCGACAGACCCGCTGACCTCCTCGTTTCGCTCCTCTCCGCCAACGCAACCACCCCGTCGTCATCCTCTCGACCTCCTGTCCATGCCACAACGCTCTCATACACGCAGGGTCTGGGTCCCTGATCAGGAGAAGAGATATGTCGCGGGACATGTCGTGAAGGAGAATGCCGAGGAGGGGACGAGTACGGTTGCGCTTGACAGCGGGGAGGAGGTGCGTCCTTCCCGCCTCCTTGCTTGGGCAGCCATCTGTTGAGGAGGGAGCCCTCAACCGAGTCTCCCTCAGTGAAGATTGGACGACGAGGGACGCGAACGGAACTCGAGCTGACTTTCTTTCCTCCTCTACAGATGCGCAGCGTCGAATCCGACCTCCTCACGCGCGTCAACCCACCCAACTTTGACGGCGCCGAAGACATTGCCGACCTGACCTACCTGAACGAGGCGTCGGTCGTGCACAACTTGCGGGTCCGGTATCAGCGGGGGGAAATCTACGTGCGTCCCGCGCGACGAGTGGAAGGGACGTACTGACGCCGAGTGTGGCGAACAGACGTATTCGGGACTCTTCCTCGTCGCCGTCAACCCGTACCGCTCGCTTCCCATCTACACTCCCCAAGTCATCGAATGTGCGTTCGCCATTCCTCCGGGTCTACGCAGACTCTCTACTCACCCGTTGACCGCGCGCAGCATACAAGTCTGCGCGGAGAGACCAGAACCCGCCTCATGTGTTTGCGGTCGCGGAAAAGGCGTGGCAGAATATGCTTCAGCAGCGGGATCAGAGTCAGAGCGTGTTGGTGACGTGAGTATTGCTCTTCTCGTCGACGTCTCTGCCCGTCTGTCGAGGGTGTGGGGGGACGCCTGCTCCAGAAGAACACGCCGCTGACTCGGAACGCGATGCCGCAGCGGCGAATCCGGCGCAGGAAAAACCGAGAACACGAAGAAGGTGATCCAATACCTCGCCGCGATCGCCGCCGACCCCCTCCCAACCTCCTCCTCCTTCGACCTCCTCGCACGCCAAGCACATGCCGATGCGACGCTCAACCCGTCGGGTGGGAAGGCGAAGAAGCTCGGACAACTCGAGAGGCAAATCCTCGAGGCGAACCCGATTCTTGAGGCGTTTGGAAATGCGCAGACTGTCAAGAACAACAACTCGTCTCGTTTCGTACGTTCACCTTCACCTCTCTGGCTTCTTACCCAGCGAGACCTGCTGACGATTGCTCGAGTGGGCAGGGCAAATTCGTCCGGATCTTCTTCAACTCGCTCGGCGCGATTGCCGGCGCCAACGTCGACTGGTACCTCCTCGAGAAGTCGCGCGTTACGGCCAGGTCGAAGGAGGAGCGCAGCTTCCACGTCTTCTTCCAGCTTTTGCGAGGGGCGGATCGGGGGCTGTTGAGTACGTCATTCTGCTCGCCAGCAGGTTCGGCCGCTAGCTGGCTGCACGACTGAGCTGACGAAGCGTGTCGATCTTGAGCGCAGAGCAACTCCTCCTTTCGGATGAGGCGTCGAGCGGCAGCAAGGGCTTCGAGTACCTCAAACATTCGCGGCAGGATGTTGACGGGATGGACGATCGCGAGGAATGGAAAGCGCTCGTCGTGCGTCTTTCGCTGCTAAAGTCCCGGAGCGTCCACTCACCTGGTCTTTCATAGCGCGCCCTCAACACCGTCGGCTTCACCTCGGCCGAGCAACTCACGCTCTTCAGCATCATCGCCACCATCCTGCACCTCGGCCAGCTCACCCTCTCCGTCTCCGGCACCTCCACCGCGCACCTCTCCTCCCGCGCCGCACTCGAGAAAGCCGCCTTCCTCCTCGGCGTCTCGCCCGACTCGTTGCACAACGCTCTCCTCCGCCCGAAAGTCAAGGCCGGTCGTGAGTGGGTCACGCAGGCGCGCACGAAGGACCAGGTTGTCGACGAGATTGGCGCGTTGAGCAAGAGCTTGTACGAGAAGAACTTTGGAGCGCTCGTCGATCGCATCAATCGCAGTCTGGAGGGAGGAGCGGTGCTGGGCCCGCAGGGGAAGAAGACGTTCATTGGCGTGCTCGATATCGCCGGCTTCGAGATCTTCGAGACGAACGGCTTTGAGCAGCTCTGCATCAACTTGACGAACGAGGTGCGCTCGTCCACGCCGTCTTGCGATTCGCAGGGCTGACCTGCCCTTCTTCCCGCAGAAACTCCAGCAGTTCTTCAACCACCATATGTTCGTCCTTGAGCAAGAAGAGTACGCGCGCGAAGACATCAGTTGGGACTTCGTCAACTTCGGCCTCGAGCTCCAGCCGACTATCGACCTCATCGAGAGTACGAACCCGATGGGCGTCTTGGCGTGCCTTGACGACGCGAGTATCATGCCGAAGGCAACAGACGCCAGCGTGCGTACCCTCTTCTGAACGCCTGAGGATCGCTTGCTAAAGTTTGCTCGCGCAGTTCACCGACAAGCTTCACCAGCTCGCGTCCGAGAAGCCGACGCCGACACCCTTCACCAAGTATGCGCCGTCACGCCTCGAGCGAGGCTTCACGATCTCGCACTACGCCGGCAAGGTCGAGTACCGGACGGACGGCTGGCTCGACAAGAACCGCGACCCGCTGAACGACAACATCACCTCGCTCCTCGCCACATCCTCCAACTCTTACGTCGCCACGCTCTTCGCCGAGTATGCCGAACCCGAAGCAGGCTCGACGCTCGACGTTGTCGCACCTCGCGCTCGCGTGAGGAAGGGCGCCTTCCGCACGGTCGGCCAGCGACACAAGGAACAGCTCGCTGTCCTGATGTCGCAGCTCAACGAGACGCAGCCGCACTTTGTCCGCTGCATCGTGCCAAACCTGCACAAGTCGCCTACCGAGATCGACGTCCCGCTCGTCCTCGACCAGCTGCGGTGCAACGGTGTCCTCGAAGGAATTCGCATCGCCCGCCTCGGCTACCCCAACCGACTCCCCTTCTCCGAGTTCCGTCGCAGGTTCGAGCTGCTCGCGCCAGCCGGCTCCATTCCGAACGGTTTCGTCGACGGTGCGCAGGCGTGCTCGACCATTCTTTCGCACCTCCAGCTCGACCCGCACACCTACCGCCTCGGTCTTACCAAAATCTTCTTCAAAGCCGGCATCCTCGCCGAGCTCGAAGAGCGCCGTGACGACTACCTCTCTGGCATCGTTACCAAGGTTCAGGCCGCATGCCGACGCTTTGTCGCCCGACGCCAAGCCGTCAAGGTCCTCCACCGCGCGCAGGCCGTGCGGACGATCCAGCGCAACGCTCGTATCTACGCCGAGCTCCGCGACTGGCCGTGGTGGCCGCTCTTCCAGCGCGTGCGCCCCCTACTGGCAGCGGCACGGACGGACGACGAGCTGCGACGCAAGGAGGCCGAGCTGGTCGAGGCGAAGAAACGTGCTGAGGCGGAGGAAAAGGAGCGCGAGAAGTTGCTTGCCCTGCAGGCAGAGCTCGAGCAGGCGCAGCAGGAGATGTCGCAGCGGCTCGAGGCGGAGAAGAGTCTCAGCGTCGAGAAGGAGGCGCTCCTGCTCCGATCGAAGGAGCGCGAGGCGGCGTTGCAAGATGCCTTGCAGGCGGCCGAGCAGGACTACGACACCGTCAGCTCGCAGCTCGACCGCGCGATGGAGGGGAAACGCGCCGTCGACGAGCGACTGGCGGGCTTGAACGATGCCTACGCCAACCAGACCAAGCTCGTCGAGACTCTCCAGCAGGCCCAGGCGGCGTGGAAGGCCAAGGAGGCCGAGTTGGCGAGCCAGACGAGCGTGCAGACCGCCGAATGGGAGCGCATCAACTCGGAGCGCCAGAAGAACGCCGACCTCGTCCTCGATCTCAAGCGTCAGCTTTCCGAGCTCAACCAAGATCGTCGCCGCGAGCAGGAGCGCCTCAATACGTCTCTCAAGACCGCTCAGGACCGCCTGGCAAGCGAGACGGCGGCTTCGACCGAGGCTCGAACCAAGATCGTCTCACTCGAGGCGGACGCTCGGGCGGCCAAGGCGGAAGTGGCCGCGCTTCAGCTGGCGCAGCAGGACAATGAGGAGAACCTCAAGTTGCGAGAGGCGGAGCTCGCTCGTTTGCGTTCAGGTGCGTCGGCATCTTTCCTCCGCCGCGTCCGACGAGCGACTACTGAGCTCTTCGCCCGCAGAGTTCGCAGCAGCAAGGGAGCAAGGCGAAGTGGCTGCGGCGCGGGCTCGTGAGGCGGAGGCTGCGGTGGCATCCCTACAGCAGCAGCTCGAAGCCGAGACCGCCGCGCTTCAGTCGAGCCGAACTGCCGAAGAGCGAGCTGCCGGCGACCTCCTCGCGCTCAAGAAGCTCGTCGACGAACAGGCAAGTGACCAGCAGCGAACAGCAGAACTCGCCAAGATGCGCGAGGCCGAGATTCAAGACCTCCGCTTCCAGCTGTCGAAGACGTCGTCGGAACTCGCAATCGCTCAGCGCGAGTCCATGAAGAAGGCGGAACAGCTTCAGACGGAGCTCGACTCGGCGCGCAAGGATGGTCAAGCGGCGCAGGCGGCGAAGCACGATCTTGAGCGCAAGGTCGCGTCGCAGTCGTCGACGATCACGCGGCTCGAAGCGCGGACTGAGCAGCTCGAGCGGGCTCAGCAGGCGCACGACCTCGAATTCGAGCTTTTGCGCACGAAGACGGCCGAGCAGCTGCTGCAGGAGCGGGAGAAGTGGGAGAAGCAGTTGCGCGAGACGCGCGACCAGTTCGAGGTCTTGGAGGATGCGGCTGTCCAGGCGAAGCGCGACCGCGATGCGGCCCTGCGCGTTGTCGAGGCGTACAAAGCGCTGCTTGAGACAGAGCAGGAGACCGTGCGCGCCCGAGTTGCGGAGAAGGCGAAACTCGAGGCCCAGGTCGACCAGCAGCATCTCGTCCTCGCCGACCTCGACAAGATCAACGGTGACTTGCGCGCCGAACTCGCTTCGACCAAAGCCCGCCTTGTTGTCGCGGAGGAGAAGGCAGGACGGACAGTCGTGCGTGACGGTTCCCCGTTCTTCTTCTCCTGCAGTACGCTCACTCTCCCGTTCGCAGGTCGAGCATATCCGCGTACTGGAAGAGGCGCAAAGGTGTGCACCGTTCCATCTCATCCCTCCTGGAGTGTCGAGCTCACCCTGAACGCTACACAGGCTGCAAAACCTCGAGATGGACCGCATGCGCGCCGACCGAGACAAGCGCGACGCTTACGTCCGTACCCTCGAGCGAGCTCGTACCGCTCTCACGCAATCTCTCGAAGACGTGCGTGCTGCCGCAGGATGCGTCCGTTGACAGCTCGCTGACCCTCTTTTGCGATCAGCTTCAACACGAGCGCGAGGCGGAGCGCCGCGCAGCGTTCGCCAACCGGGCGCCCAAGGATCCGACTGTTGATCGCCTCAACGATGCCCTGGCGAGCGAGAAGAAGGTTCGCGAGCTTGCCGAGCTCAACGTCGTGCGTTGCCCCCCCTGCGAACGAAATGGGCACCGGCTAACGCTCCTCGCGTCTGCAGTCTCGCCTTCACTCCGAGGTAGAGCACCTGAACTCGTCGCTCGACTCGTCGAAGGCCGAAGTGGCCGACCTCAAGCGTCGCAACGCTCAGATCGAGCGCGAGCTGCAGAAGGTCGCTGCCTCCGACTACGGTCAGAACGTTGCGTCGCCTGTCAAGACTTTCGCGCCGACTCTGCGGGACCCTCAGCCACGTACGATGCAAGAGAGTCGACTCGCCAATGCCTTGCCGGAAACGCCTGCACCGCGGGCGAACGGGCTTCGAAGCGAAGGACCGTACGGCTCGGGTTATGGCGGCGTGCATGCCTCGCGGAGTGAGTGCGAGCCTTCACACCGCGCTTTTCGCAACGCTGACGCCAAGTTACTGCAGCATCCGTCGACCTCAAGCGCGCATCTCTTCAATTCGCTCCTCCTCCCGCCGGTCCCAACTCGCCGCGTCGCCGCAACTACGAGTGATGCCTCCTTCGTCCTCCCTTCTGCACATATCTGTCGCTCGTTCGCAGTCTCTACCCCGCAAGACCGCTCCTCCTTGTTGCTTCGTACTTTTCTGTCAGATGCTGTATACCTCTGTCAACGCATGGACGTTTTGCTCGCTCTGCCAAGTCTCGCCCGAGCATCTGCAGGTCTGCGTGCCGACTTCGTTCCGAGTTACAACAGGTGTGCGGGTACAAGGAGGTGCAGAGTGCGGGAAGGCGAGAAATAGGATTGCGAGAACTGCGAGCGTGCGACGATTGCGTGCTGGACAGGGTCATGCGTCTGCAGGCGACACGACGGTCAGCGAGGCGACTTGAGCGAGACGATGAGGTGAATGTACAGTAGGAGCCGTGGCCAAGGAGGTCGTGCAGGTCGGCGAGTTGCTCCGCCGTGAAGGCCTTCTGGTCCGTCTCCCACGAGTCCTGGTGGGTTCGCTTGAAATCGGCCAGCGTCGTGCGGACTGTCGTTGAGAGGGGAGGCGGCGACGCCGCGTGCTTCGACATGCATTCGATGAGGATGGACGGGATGAACGGCGGGACTTCGTAGGGGAAGGCCTTGATGAGCGAGGAGACGCCGAGGACGGCCGAGTCTGCGGCAATAAACCTGTCAGCTGAGACGGAAGGCGACCAAGGAGTTCGCAACAAACGAGCTGTGACGAGGGCGTCTTGGTAGCCAGCGACTTCGTTGCCTTGCGCATCTCGCCGCTTCGGGATCTTCGTCGAGCGGAGGGTCTTCATGAAGCGACTGATGAGCGAGACAATGGCGCTGCGCTGCGAGCAGCGAATGATGCCGGACAGGGTCGAGGCCGCCGCCTCGCGAACCTCGATCTTCGGGTCGCGAAGCAGGTCGCAGAGCTGGTCCATCAGCTCGGTGATTATGCCGTCGCTCAGGAAAAAGAGGTGATGGTAGTAGAAAACTGCAGACGAAGTTCGGTTAGCGAGGTCGGGCATGAGCCAGGCGGCGGGCGAGACACACCTTGCAGCGGAAGGAGGACGTCGAGGCGGACACGCCAGCTCGGCGAGTCCCGTAGAAGCGAGATGAACTGCTTCATGAGAGGCGCGACGAGGTGTTGAGGGAACTGAAGGGCGGCGCACGCGAGGAGGACGCGGCCGGCCATGCGGCTCAGTTCCTGCGGAGGAAGGCGACAGTCAGCTTGATTGGGACGCCTTTCTGCCGACGAGAATCTGTAAGCGGGGCGCACCTGGTTGTCGGTGCTCTCCTGCATGCGGAAGAATTCCGGAAGGAGCTTCGTGATGAACGGGAAAGCCGAGCTGGTCCGGACCTCGCTGATGCTGCCCCAAATCCAGGTAAGCACCGTCATGCTCGCCTTGTCGTACGTCGACGTTCCCTCGCTGGCGGGCCTGCGCTCGGCTCGCCATTCGGTCAAGCGGCGGCCGATGTCGTCGATACGCGCCTCGTACTTGTCATCGACGGCGACGAGGCTTCGGATGGCCCGGTCGTCGTAAACGCGCTGCGAGTCGCGGATAAACTGCTCGACCGATCCGTAGGACGGGAAGAGGAGCTGCTCGCAGAGCGTGCGGAGGTTGTCGGCGACGGCGCCGCGGACCTCCTGGTACGGGTGGGCGATGTTGGCGAGGTACATTTCGATGTATCCGTTGGCCCACGGCGTGAAGTGCCAGCCGAGCGCCTTCATTGCCGTGCCGACGAGGTCCTGCTTTTTGGAGACATTGAACGCCTCGGACGACTCCTCGTCGATCTTGAGCGAGGTAATGTACTCGACGAGCGGCTTGTTGCGGCGCGGGTCGCGGGCGTTGAGGATGTCTGAGCAGACAGAGAAAAATCAGCTTCGCTACGAGTGGAGTAAGGGCGGGCACGCACACTCGGCACACATCTCCCAGGCCGTCTGCGTCTCGGGAGTCACGTTCTTCTCGAAGATGGATGGAAGCTTCGGGCCGAGCCAGTCCCACAGCATGCGCTGCTTCCTGAGCGACCAGTGCTTGCTGCCGCGGATCATACCTGCGATAAAGGTCCGTCAGACGCGGACCGCAAGATGTGCGAGGATGCCAAACTCACCACCAACGAGTTCGCCGGCCGCGCGCTGCTTGTGACGGTTCGCCGGGTCCGCAAGGAGGTCGTCGACGGCCGGAAGAACCCACTGGCACGGCGCGTCCTCAAACACCTGGAAGATGGACTTGATGAGCATGCAGACGTCGGCGGCGAGGTACTGCAAAATGCGAGACGAATCAGCGACGGCCGGCATATAGGGAGCGAGCACACGCACGTCGATGCTCTTCTCCATGGCGAGGTGGCCGACGAAGGTGTCCCACCACGACGGCTGCAAAACGATGGCCCGAAGCTGGTCGAGCGCTTCCTGCGACGAGTGATCCCAGTCGAACACGGAGCCTTCCTCCGGCGGAACTTCGTAATAGTCGATCGAGTCGCCCCAGACGAGCCAGCCGCCGGTGTTGCCCTTGTCGACGAGCTTGGTGTCCTTGGAGAGCGGTTCCGTGAAGCTCGCGATGAATTTCGCGGTGAAGTCGGGCGGCAACGGGCGCTCGAGCTCGACCTTGCGTCGGAGCGGATTCGACGTCTTCTGGAGGAGGAGGCACTCGTCGGACCCGCTGCAGGTCGTGCGCAGCTTGATGAAGTGGAGAATCTTCGTGAGCGCGAGCATCGAGTGCGTGCGCTGGTTCGGAAGCTCCGACACGAGCTGCTGCGCCATGTAGCTCGCGATTGTCGTTCGCTGAGGCTGGTCCCGACGGATGAACGCGCGCAAGAGTCGGGTGCAAGTGAGCTTGTACCGCCAATGCGTGTTCGGGTCGTTGGCGAGGCGCAAGAGCTCGGGAATCTGCGCGCCGACTCGTCAGTATGTCTTCGGCAAGGCGGGTGGGCGTTTCGCCGTACCAGCTGGTCGTAAGCCGCATTCTTCTGTGCCGTGCGCCCCTGGACCTTCTGCGCAACACGCTCGACGAGATCCTGGTCCTCGACGATCGAGATCATCTCCTCAACGCTGTCCGCCGCCTGCTGAAGCGATTCGGACTCGACCGTGTTCTTGAGAGTAGACGGCTCGCCGGTGCGAATGATAAAGTCGTGCGTGACGCTACGGACCAGGTTCTGGACCGACGGTCGCTCCTGATGCTGGCAGCCAAGGATGGCGAGAAGGTACGGAGTCCACAGCCGACTGTCGAGGATGGCGAAATTTTGTGGCGCCTTCGAGCCGAGGACGTACAGCGCACCCTTCATGACGTCGTGGTCCGTGCCGGCTGGCGAGGCAGAGCGGTGTCAGCGAGACTCGGCAAAGCGCCAAGTCGGGACGACCTCGACATACGCTTGAGCGCGTCGAAGAGACGGGGGTAGATGAGCGTCCTTGTGCCGTCAAAGTAGTGGACTGCGGCCGGAGGGGGAGTCAGCAACCGAATGATGCAAGTTGAGAGCAAGCTCGACGCACTCATCGAGTCGAGCCCCTTCTGAGCCGACTTGCGGACCTGGAGGTAGACGCTGAGCGAGAGCTCGCAGAGGTCGTGGATGAGGAGGTCGTCGAGCTTCGATCGCTTGCGGTAGAAGCTGTTGATGCGGAGGCGGGAGGCGTGATAGAGGCTCGCTCGTCGGACCCAGACGAAACGCGGGAACTCCTTCTGGTTCCGTGTGACGCGCGAGACGTTCAAAGCGAACTCATAGCTCTTCTTGACGGTGCTGTGGTGGTTCGAGTCGGTCGGGTAGTCGAGTTCGAGCGTGCGAATTGTTGCGACGACCATCTTGATGCAGTCGATCGTGTCCTGCTGCTGCGAGACCTTCAACGTCTGCACGGCGTTGTGGAGGAATTCGCCTGCGCGCGTGCGAATGTCGGCAACGAAGGCGTGGCGAGGGTCGTTTGCGTCGCTGAGGGGAAGGCCGATGTTGCAGCGAGGAAGGTGGTCGATGAACTCGGGAACCTCGTCGCCCGCATCGCTTGCGGGTTCGCCGAGGTCTTTCGGCGGGCCGAGCAGGACGAAGCTGGGGATGCCGGACAGAGAGGCCCGCAGGATGTTGCAGAACTGCCGGAAGGACGTGTCAGTCCATTTGCAGTCGCGGCGTAGGGAACGCAACATACGCGGCAGAAGTCGTTCACCCACTGCAAGCTGAGGAGCTTGTCGTCCTCCTTCGCTTCTGCGAGGAGCGCGTCGAGCTTGTCCATAATCGGGACGACGATGTCGCGGAGAAGTTCGACCGCAAAGTCGATCTCTTCCTGCGTCGATACGTGCCACTCGACTTTGACGTCCTTGACCTTGTAGAGCCGACCCCAGGTCTCGTGCGAGCGCTTGCGGAACTCTGCGAGGAACGGCAATGTCAGCGCGCGCTTGCTTCGCCGTGGGAACTCCAGCTCACCTTCGCTTCGCCAGTCATCGGCGTTAACCGAGCGGTAGTCTCGCACCCAGGTGTTTGTGAGCGTCATAAGCAAGATCGAGAGGACCCGCGCCGTCGTGGTGTAGCTGGTCTCGCTCTTGGCGTGCTCGACGAGGAACTGGACGAGGGACTTGACCTCGGCCTTGTAGCGGAGGATCTGCGAAGAGGAGGCGAAGGTCAGCTCGCACTCACACTCCGTCAGTTAGAGAGACAGAAGTCGACGCACGTTTTCGCCCGAATTTGTCACGCACGCCGTCAGGAGGCCGATCCACCAATGCAGCGTTGCGTCGCTCTCGATGGGATTATTCGTCCTTGTCGAGCGCGTACTGCCCGACCCGCTCTCCATCTCCTGCCGGATCTTCATGTCGCAGAGCCGGAAGAACTTGGCGAGCGTCTTCTTCGAGTCGGAGCGGGCGAAGCACGAGACGAGCTGCGAGGTTGCGCGGGCCGAGTTGGTGCGCACGTTGTTCGAGACTTCGTTGAAGACGATGTCGAGCGCGAGGTCGAACATGTGCGGCGAGAGCTGGGCGCAGACAAAGTCGCAGGCGGCCTGATACGGAACTCATGTCAGTGGAGCGCAAAGGCGTATGTAGTAGCGGGATGCCCGACTCACGATGAGCGTCTGGGTCATCTGGTCCTCCATCTTGCCGCCGTTCCGATTGCCCTTTCCAGGCTCCGGCAAGGCTTCAAAGACAGCCATGACGCCCCGGACAAAGTTCGACACCCAGTCCGGGAAGCCCGCTGTCATCGTTCTCAGCGCCTCGTCCTCCTCGCGCTTCGAAAGCTTGACGCCATCGCCGTTCCCGTCCTCGTCCAGCGCGATCGTCGGCACCTCGGACGCCGTCGCGACCGTGTCGAGCGACATGCCGTACTCGCCCTCCCCGTCGAGCTGCAGCTCCGGGCGGGTCAAGTCGTCGATGACGACCTGCGAGCACGACTGGATTACGAACATGGCGGTGGAGATGGTCTTGATCGGGTCGTTGACGTCGAGGCCGGGCAAGCAGAGTTCGAGGAGCGGAATGAGGTTCTTCGCGCCGGCGGGATAGTTGGAGCGGGAGATCATTGGCGGGGAGACGGTGGAGAGAGCGGTGATGCAGGCGGTCGTGCGGTGGGTCTCCGTCAGGGTTTCGAGACTTGGGTACACTCGCTCGAGGAGAGGAGGGATGACGAGATCCGGCTCGAGCAGCGCCATCGTCTTGAGCGCCGCCTGCGCATTCGAGATCGTGATCGGGTCGCGCGAGAACATCGAAAGAAGGGCGACGGTCCGCATCGTCTTGACGAACTCGCGGCGGATCTCGGGCGTGAGGCGCCACTCGCTCGGTGTGCGGCAGTCGCTCCGCTGCTCCTCCGTCCACCGCTTGAGGAACTCCCACGTCACGTTCTGAAGGAAGCGGCCGAGCAAGGGCGCCCATTTGCCATAGTTCGAGGGGTGGAAGTAGCCTTCGGTCGCCTGGATGAGCTTCGCGAGCGCATCGAGCGCCTTCGAGCCACCAAGGTACGAGCGCTCCTTCTTTTCGCCGAACACTGCGCCGAGCAGGCCGTTCGGGCCGTCCATCGCAGGCGCCTTCGCTCCTCGTGTCGGCGAATTGCTGCGTGAGCCGCTGCGAGACGGCGCCTTTGAGCCGAACGGGGTCGAGCCGGAAGGTCGTGCGTCGGCGGCCATCGAGTAGACGATGACGGCGGCGAAGGAGCCAAGCTTCTCGGTCGGCCGCTTCATCGTGAGCGCGACTCCGTGAGCGGCGCTGTCCTGCGTCGCAAAGTCGGATGCCGCGACTCCGGACGCACCAGCCTTCGTACCGCCGCCGACAGGAACGCCTGCAAAACTGGATGTCAGTGAAAGGACGACGTCTCCAGTAACGCTCGAAACGCACCCATCGCCCGCAAGCACTTGGTCATGATGAAGGCGAACTGCTGCTCGGTGAAGATGCCGACATCCTTGCGGATTCCGCGCCATTTGGGCAGGGCAGGCGACCCTCCAGGCGTTGTCATGCCATCCTGCATTCCGAAGATGTACGCCGGGATGCCCGTCTTGCGGTGACTGTACGTGTGCTCCTCGAGCAAGTCCTCGACCCTGGGCTTCTCCTCGACGTACTCGCCTGCGTCCTTGGCCATCTGCCGCAGCTCGTCGACGATGTCTGGGTGCGAGACGCGCGGGTCGACGTGAAGCACTGCGAGGCGTTCGACAAAGTCGAGCCACTGCTCGTCGTAAATCTCAGAGCTGAACGCCTCCCACAGCTTGAAGACGGCGGGGAGGTAGTACTGCGGGTGTGAGGTCGGGAGGAAGTGGGTGCAGAAAGCTTGCGAGGCGATGATCGAGTTGAGTTGCGGGTTCAGGCGGGGAAGGAAGGCGGCGAGCATGGCGGGGATCTCGTGAGGCGGGAAGAAGCGCTGCGAGTACTCGACGAGCGAGAGGAGCGTTGTCGAGACGTTCGTCACGCCCGTTTTGCGCTGCTTCGGGAAGAGCTCCTTCTCGAGAACGGCGTAGAGCTGCCGCCAGGGAAGCTGCAGGTCGGAGATGTCGATCCGCTTCTTCGGCTCGAGGAGCGAGATGGCCATGTTGACGGCCAGGTCAACGAGGCGGGCGTCCATGCCGGGAAGAACTGTGGGGCTCATATCTCAGCATCTCACAGAGAAAAGCAAAGCGGATGATACTCACGGGACAGCTCGAAGTACATCTTCGCCAACTTTGCCCGCAAGTCGCGCTTCATCGGGTACTTGAGCGACATCCAGCACTCGAGGCGGTGGTTCCATTCTGTGCGGGCCATTAATCAGCGACAAACACGCATAGGTGGGCTCGCTGGACGCACGAACGAAGCCAACGTCGCTGCAAGGAGGAGAAGCAAGGGTCAGCAACCGCTCCTGCCCTTCAAACAGCAAGACCGCACGCACTAGTCCTTCGCCCTGACGCAGTCAATCAACCTTCTGACAATCTCCTCCAACTTGCGGTCCATCTCTTCAAGCGACTCCGTCTCGTACGGGAGCGACTCGGGATAATCGAGCTGTTCCCTCCTGGGCTTCTCCTTCGGCCTGACAAGCCTCCTCCGCTTCTTCGGCTGGGGCGAGAGCGACTTTCGACCGAGTGCATCGAACGGGTTTGCGCGCTCAAAGGCTGGGGAGGGAGTGCCGGGGAGGATCAGTTCCTCGTCAATGTCGTCGTCGAACTCGTCGAAGGGTTCTTGCTCGGGCGAGTCAACCTGAATCGCATCATCTTCCACTGTGGGAACGCAAAGAAGCAAGCAGGTCAGCTGCCTGTCGAGCATCGGTCCAGGTTCGTCGTCCCCACACGAGCGAGCGAGAGAAGCCCGTCGCAGCGTGCAGTCCAGCCAGCAGACCACGCAAGCGATCAAGATGGACGCACTGTCGTCTGGCGGCTCAGCGAATCTGCCGCGAGAGCTGTGCCAACTGTCGTCGAGGAAGGGTGAGATCATCAGGCGAGAAAGGGTTGTGAAGGAGAGAAAGCGCACTGTGCAGGCTTGTGCGGTGCTCGAAGTGGGGAAGGGGCCTCGTCAGCGCTTACGCGAGGCCGCGTGGGTCGAAGTTGGCGCGTGAGAAGCGAGGGCGGCCGCGCAAGCTGTTCTCGAAGTCCCGCTCGAGGGGGCAGCGCGCTCGCTCGCGGTTTGGTGGACTCTGGCTTGCTTGTGGCGTAGTGTATAGCTCACAGCGAGACTTGCGCACTGCCGCCAGAGCAAACGAAGCCGTGGAAGCGTCGCTCGCCTCTTTTCCTCGAGCAAGCACGCACGCCTCGCCTCAACTCTGCTTCGATAGCCGCAGAAGATCGCTGGAATGGTATGACGACAGTTGCCAACAGGCTGGGAAGCAATACAGAAAGGAGAGAAGGGCGAATGAGGGCGAAGGCGAGGCGGAGAAGGGCAGGGTGAGGCGAGTCGAGATGCGGTCCGAAGTCGGGTCAGCCTGGACGCGCATCTGCTGCTGCATAAACGGGCGCTGAAGCATTGCAAGATCCTGCGGGAGTCGTCCGGCCGTCAGCCACAGGCCCTGCAAAGCTTGGGAAGTTTCGTTCAAGGCAAGCGTTCGGCGGCACTCACATTCGCTCCCGCCCTCCTGCGCAAAGACCAAATGCTGCTTGATGTCCTCCTGCGTGACGGTCGGCTTGGCGGACTGGACGGCGCGGACAAAGTCGTTGTAGGTCCTGCGAAGTCGCGGGGGAGGGAGTAAGCGCCAATTTCCGTGCCTTCGCTGGGATCCACAACAGTGGGGACGCTACGCAAGTAGGTGTGTACATGCACTGATGATCGCTGCATCGGTACGGAAGAGAGGAACAACCCAACTCACAAAGGCGGTTCGAGCAACTCGTCGCTGTTGACGTCGTTCCAGGTCATCTCCTTCGCGCCCTTGTCGCCAGGCGAGCAAGGCGTGAGTTTCCGCACTGTTTGTGAGGAACCGTCTTCTGCTTCGACTGGTACGGGGACCTGTGTACCGAGATCATCCGCAAGGATCAGTCGCCAATTCTCGCGAGGAGAGAGTTGGGAACGCGGACGCACCTCTTTGAAATGCGTCGCACTCAACACCTTCCTCACAGGCTGCATCAACGCGTCCCTCACGACGACGGCCAGATCCGAACCCGAGTAACCGTCCGTCATCTCGGCCAACTTGCGGTAGTCTGCCTGTGAGAGATGGCAAGGGGTCGTGCCGATGTTGAGGTGGAACATCTTGACGCGTGCGGCGGGGTCGGGGAGGGGGATGTAGATGCGTTTTTCGAATCTGCGTGCGAGGGGACGAGGCGTGTCAGCGGCGACTCGTCACACTCCGATTGGCTCGAATTAGAGCGCAACGTACCGTCGCTTGATAGCCACATCCAGCGCCCACGGGATATTCGTCGCACCGAGCACCAACACACCCGACTGGTCGTTCCCAACCCCGTTCATCTGGACGAGAAACTCGGTCTTGATTCGCCGCGAGGCTTCGGACTCGCCTTCCCCTCGTGTTCCGCAGAGAGAGTCGATCTCGTCGATGAAGATGATGGAGGGGGCGTGTTCGCGCGCCATGGCGAAGAGCTGCTTGACGAGCCTGTGCGACAGTACGACTCGATCCGTCAGTCCCGGTTGGGAGTGAGGCGGTCCCAGAAAAGACAGAGGGAACCATGCTCGACGCACCGCTCACTCTCACCCATCCACTTGCTGACCAAATCCGACGAACTAACACTAAAGAACGTGCTCTTCGCCTCCGTCGCGACTGCCTTGGCGAGGAAACTCTTTCCCGTTCCCGGCGGCCCGTAGAGGAGGATTCCGCGCCAGGGCGTGCGTTTGCCGGTGAAGAGGTGGGGGAACTTGATGGGGAGGATGACGGCTTCTTTGAGGGATTCTTTGGCTTGTTCGAGACCGGCGACGTCTTCCCATCGCACGTTGGGCGTTTCGGAGAGGATGGCGCCTGTGCGACAGCTGATTAGTTCCATCCGAGACATCTCGCAGAAGAAGCGAGAGACGAATGGACGCACTGGACAACCCGTCCCTCAATTTCTTCGTATCGGCATCATCGTCGTCCCCCGTTCCCTTCTTCGCCTGCGCCCCACCTCCCCCTCCACTAATCGCCTTCCCACCGCCCTGCGAATCAGCCTTGGCTTTCGCCTCGGACGCCTGGATGTGGTCTTTGAGCTTCTCGGCGCGCTCGAGGTACTCTTCGACTTTGGAGCGGATCAGGTCCTTGAGTTTCGGGTTCTTCTCGTCTGTGCGAGGCGAGGGGACGGAACAGGGTCAGCGAGGAAAGGCAAGAGGATTGATTGCCTCAGCAAGAGACCCATGAGGAGACCGTCTCCCCGAGCACGCACACTTGTACGCCATATTGAAGTAGTCGAGCGAGTTCCTGGTTGCCCAACGATCCTCATTAGCTTCACGCAGGTGAAGGAGAGCATAGTGGACGCACTTGTACAGCTTGAACGCCTCGTTCCATTCCTGCTTGACATCCGCATCGATCGCCTGCTTGACGATCTCGCACGCCTTCTGCTCCGTTGCGATCCCATTCCCGCAGTTGATCGGTTGTTCGGAGGGCGTAGGAAGAGAGGAGGAGGAGAAGGAGCGAGGGTCAGTGAACTGGATGACGAGCAAGACGCGAGCAACGGCGCGCGGCGCAGGCTGAGCGAGCGTGTGAAGTAGCAAGGTGTTGACTGACGTCTAGGAAGTTTGAGTTGTTGCTCATCGTGCGAGAGCGGTGAGCGAGTGTGGGTTGACCTCGCGGCGGTGCGGAGGCGACGAGGACGAGGTCCCGCTTACACTCGAGTAAGTCGGTGGATGGGTGTAGCGTGTGTGTGAGTAGTTTATGAGTCTGGCTGTGCTGCACCGGAAGCAGTCTGAGCAACTTGAGGAGGTGGTCGAGGTGGAAGTCGTCCTCTTATCCTCCTCACCTTACCTGGTCAAGTGAGTTCTACTTTGTAAGGGTGTTCTACTCTAGCACTGCACACTCTCTAGAACACAAGCCAGCGTGTCCAGCAGCTCCCCCTGTCACCGCCGAACGCGTCTTCTTTCACGGCGCGACTTCTTCTCCGCCGGCAACGCTCTCGCTCTCACACTCGCCCGTTTCGGTTTGACAGCGCGGACCGTCTCGGGGAGACAGCTTGCACGCTCACGGCCAGCGCGCGAACCTCGCACGCGCTTCGGCGCCCTCCCGCGCGTGCTTCTCCACCCTCGCTCTCGACGCGACTCGCTCTCGACCCACGCCGCACATCGTAGCGCCAGACAGGCCGCACTCTCGACGCAGAAACGGTAGACGCGACTAGCTTCCCCGTCTGAGCCCGCCCAACCTCCGGAACCCGTTCCCCTCGACCTACTCTCCTTCCGCCAACCCTACTCCCGCACGCCATGGCGCCCCGAGGCAAGAAGCGCGCCGCGTCCGTCGACTCGGACGACGTCGACTCGGGCGGCAGGACCGGCACGGGCGGCCGGTCCGACAACCTCCTCAACCTCTCCCTCCCCCCGATGCACAAACTCGAAGACATCTTCTCACACATCGTCGAGCGCAACGCCGAGAAGCTCTCCAAGGTCATGTCGAACCTCGGACGACCCCTGCGCGTCGCGACTATGTGTTCGGGAACCGAGTCGCCTATCCTCGCCCTCCGCCTCATGTTCCGCGCTCTGGAGGCGCAGAAGGGCATCAAGGCCGAGGTCGACCACATCTTCTCGGCAGAGATCGAGCCGTTCAAGCAGGCCTACATCGAACGCAACTTTGCCCCGCCCCTCCTCTTCCGCGACGTGACCGAGCTGTGCGTTCGCTTCCTTCTCCTTGGAGATTCAAGAACTTGGACCTGATCTCCCTCGCTCGATCCGCCGCTCGCAGCCCGAATGACCAAGCTCGCACGGCATACGGAGCGTTCGCCGACGTCCCAGGCAACGCCGACATGCTGTGCGTCCCTTCCACCCGTTCTGCATGTCTGTACACGCTCCTGACTTTGCTAATCTCCCGCAGTGTCGCCGGCACGTCCTGCATCGACTACTCGAACCTCAACAACATCAAGAAAGGCATCACGGACGGCGGAGAGTCCGGTTCGTCCTTTCCCTTCTCCTCGACCTTCCCAAAACCCGCTCACATCGCTCGCTCACTCGCTCGCAGGCCGCACCTTCTTCGGCATGTACCGCTGGGTCGACAAACACCGACCCAAGATCGTCATCCTCGAGAACGTCTGCACGGCGCCTTGGGGCGACATGGTCAAGAACTTCGCAGAGATCAACTACTCGGCAGAGTTTTGCAGGCTCGACACGAAGAAGTATTATATCCCGCACACGAGGACGCGCGTTTGTGAGTTGCCGTTCAAACCCTCGGTCGGAACTTGTAGGAGGAGAAGCTGATGAGGAGGATTGAACTCGTCCCGCAGACCTCATCGCGTTCCCGAAGGAGATCTCCAAGTCGTCCGACGCGTTCGGCGGCGCCGGCACTCTCGCAGCCAAGTGGAAAGAGCTGATGAAGATCAACGAGCGTCCTGCCTCTTCTCCCGCCGAAGCGTTCCTCCTCCACTCGGACGACCCACGCACCCACCGCGCGCGCCAGGAACTCTCGCACCAGCGTATCAGCGCCGATGGCAAGAAGCGCGATACGGTCGATTGGGGACGGTGCGAAGTCCGACACTCGGTTGCGAGGCAGAAGGAGAAGTTGGGCCAGAGGAGGCCCCTCACGGATTGGCAGGACAATGGGGGGAAACCGACGTTGCCCGACGGAGCGTGGCAGGATTGGGCCGAGGCGCAGACGGAGCGTGTGCTCGACTTGATGGACATCTCGTACCTCCGCCAGGCCAAGCTCGGCGTCGACATCAGTGCGTCCCCGTCTCCCTCTTCCCGCATGACCGCGCCGAGTTGACGAGTATGGCGAGCAGACTACAAGTCGGCGATTTGGAACCTCTCGCAAAACGTCGACCGCACGACGACCTCGAAGCTGTTCGGCATCACCCCCTGCCTGACGCCCAACATGATCCCCTACCTTACCGACCGCGGCGGACCCGTCGTCGGACTCGAGGCGCTCGCGCTCCAGGGATTGCCCATCGATGAGTTGCTCCTCACGCGTGAGAGCACCGATCAGTTGGCGGATTTGGCGGGCAACGCTATGTCCAGTACGGTTGTTGGGACGGCGATGTTGAGTGCGCTCCTCCTTGCTGGCGACAAGCTTGACAAGGTTGAGAAGAAGAGTGAGGAGGAGGATGAGGACGAGGAGGACGAAGAGGGCGACAAGGTGATGCGCCCGAAGAAGAAGGAGGACAAGCCCGAGCCGACGGAGGAAGAGCTCGAGGCGCGCTTCCGCGGCGCCGACCGACTCGCCGAACACCCCGTCGACCTCGCCTCGTTCAAGCCCTCGCCCGCAGACCTGCTCGACCGCGCGCACCGCAGCGCACGCAAGTGCACCTGCGAAGGACCCGAAGACGTCTCGGAGCACAAGATCTACACCTGCCAAGGCTGCGGTCACTCGTCGTGCGAGGCGCACAAGGGCAAGCCCGAGCACCGCTTTGTCGCCGAGACGGTCGACCGCGAGTCGCCGGCCAAGTTTGCGGCCGACTTGCGCGACCTCCTCCCCATGCGCTTTACGGTCCCCGGCTTTGAGCGCGACGCGATGGCCAAGCTCGTCGAGGACACGGAGAAGAAGGGCGCCAAGACCGACAAGGCTGTCGTCGAGCGCTACCTCGATGTCATCGACGAGGCGCTCAAGGGCGCCGAGTTTCACTTCCACCACCTCACCCGCCGCGACTTCTGGACGGCCGTCTATGGCTCGGAGCGCGCTCGCCTCGAGCTCTTCTTCGGTCAGACGCACATCGAGTGGCGCATCTTCGTCACCGCTCCCGCCGAGCTCGGCACGCTCAACCCGCTCCGCCAGCGCTTCGAGCAGCCCATCGCGCGCCTCAAGGTTCCCCCCGGCCAGACGGACCTCTTCGACGGCTCGTGGTCGCTCAACGTCCCGCTCGTCGGTTCGGCAAACAAGGTCGAGATGCAGTTCTCGTTCGACGAGGGCGACGATGCCGAGTCGAAGAACAAGTCGTGGCGCGCCCGTCTCGAGCTCGAGGACTTCCTTGAGGAGAAGAGTCCCCGCCGCATCAAGATGTCGCTCAAGGGCAGCGGCAAGGACGTGATCGACCGCCAGATTGACGGCGAGTACGAGCGCGAGGACAAGTGCGGCACCGCGACGCACGCCCTTTACCGCCGCGTCGATGTGAAGGACAACGACGAGCCTCTCTACTTCTTCTTCGACCCGTCGCCTTACCTCGAGAACATCCACGACCGCTTCGTCTTTGCCGAGACTTGCCTCCGCGTCACCGGCACTCGCGCGCTCCTCGCCTCGCTCCAGCCGTCCTGGCGTCTCAACCCCTTCCACACGACCGGCGGCGGAAAGGACGAGACGCCCAAGGTCGTCAGCGACGAGGTCGACCCCGAGCCGTCCATCGACATCCCGACGACCTGGATGGTGCTCGAGCAGGCCAAGATCGCGCCCGGCGGTGCCGACGTCAACGAGACGAGCAAGTTCTCGACGATCCAGACCGGCTTCGAGCTCTCCGTCTCGACTGGGCAGTGCTCGCAGGCCGAGACGCTCCTCACCGCGACGGTCCCGCTCGCCAAGTCTCCCTCGCCCGTCTGGGCGACTGAAAAGTGGCACGAAGTCGATCTCCAGCACCAGGGCGCCGAGGTCTTCTCCAAGCTCGGATGGATGCTCTCGCGCATCCCCAACTGGCAGGCCCTCCAGGAGTGGCAGTCGGTCGCAACGGGCAGCATCCCCAACCATACCTGCGCACGTTGTGCGCCCGTCATGCCCTCGATCCAGTGGATCAAGCTGCTCAGTCTCCGCGGCGGGAAGAAGGAGGCCTGGTCGCCCAGCGTTATCGCGCGTGAAGACGGACAAGAGGCCGCCCGCTACGAGAACGCTCTCAAGGACCGCCCGTCGCCCATCATCATCCACACGCGCCACGTCGGCAGCGACTTGCAGCTCAAGATCGGTCTCAACGCTGCCAGTCTCGCCCACCGCGCGCTCTCCCAGCTCCCCGCCGCGTCCCTCAAGCACTTCTCGCCCGCCGCACCCAAAGTCGAATGGCGTCTTTTGACGTCCGTCAGCACCGACCTCGGTAACGAGTCGTCGCCCGTCTTCGAGCTCACGAGCAACCGCAACAACCCCGAGGCGGCAAACCCCGAGGACTGGAACCCCAAGTGCAAGCTCCGCCCGGAGCAGCTCCGCTCGCTCTGGTGGATGATCGAGCAGGAGGCGAACCCGAAGCCTTGGGTCGAGGAGGAAGTCGCCGAGGCGCTTCTTCCTCAGCTTGGCTGGTACGCCGAGGCCAAGGCGACTCGCGAGGTCGAGATCCGCGGTGGTGTCGTCGCTGACGCCGTCGGGTACGGCAAGACGGCCATCACGCTCGCCCTCATCGCGTCGCGCCAGGAGGTGGACGGAGATCTCCCCGAAGAGACGGACCGCGTGCCGATCAAGGCGACGCTCATCGTCGTCCCCAAGCACCTCGTCAACCAGTGGAAAGACGAGGTCAAGAAGTTCACGAAGCCGGCTCTCAGCGTCATCACGATCCAGAGTCAGACCGACCTGAAGAAGTACACGATCAAGCAGTTCCAGGAGGTCGACATCGTGATTGTCGCCGAGTCGCTTTTCACGTCGGGCCCCTACTGGTGCGCTCTCGCCGACTTTGCCGCCAGCAAGCGCGACATCCGCTACGACGCCAAGGCTGGCCGCTACTTCCGCCACGCCGTGGACGAGGCGATGGAGGCGATGGGCGACCAGGTCAGGCGCATCCGCATGAAGGGCGCCTCGGCAGCCCACGTCGCGCTGGACAAGGCTCGCAAGGCCCGCGACGTTGACTTCGAGAGCGAGACGTTCATTCCCGAAAGCCGGCACAAGGCTGTAAGTGTTGCCGTCCCTCCGGCGATCTGACGATTCGCGCTGACCTTCTCTCATCTGCAGAACGCCAAGGCAAAGGGCAAGGCGAAGCCGCTGCCCTCTGTCAAGGACGTCAAGTTCACTCGCTCTGCGAACGTGGGCGACGATGACTGGGGTTTCCGTCAAGCGGGCCAGAACTGGACGAAACTCAAGGCCCCGCCGCTCTCGTTCTTCTCGTGGGCTCGCGTCGTCCTCGACGAGTTCAGCTACACCGATGGCTCGCCGCTGGTCGGCATCCACTCGTGCCGCGGCCGCGCTCGCTGGATTCTGTCGGGAACGCCGCCCATGCGTGACTTCTCCGAAATCAAGTCGTGCGTTTGTCGTCTCTCCCGGCCCGCTCGACACGAGCTGATTAACCCTCTCCCCAGGATCTCGAACCTCCTCAACATTCACCTCGGTATCGACGACGACACCGAGGGCGTCGCCGACATGGTCAAGGTCCGCACGAAGGACGCGACGGCCGCCGAGAAGTTCCGCTCCTACGTCGACGTCAGGACGAAGAACTGGCATATCCGTCGCAACAAGGTCGCGCAGCGATGTGAGTGGTCCTCTGAGCGTCGTGGTCAGTGCTTGACTGACGGCCCGTTCTCTCGCAGTCCTCGACCAGTTTGCCCGCCAGAACAAGGCCGAGATCGACGAGATCCCTATCGAGACGGAGCTCGTCGGCGTCCGCCTCCCCGGCGCCGAGATGGCCATCTACCGCGAACTCGAGCACCACCTGTACTCGATCGACCCGAACCTCGCCAAACTCGCCAAGATCAACATCGATAAGCAGTCCGACCGCGACAAGCGTCTCCGCGAGGCGCTCGGACAGAGCAAGACGCCCGAAGAGGCGCTCCTCAAGCGCTGCTCGCACTTCTCGCTCGACCTCGACGAGGACAAGCTCAAGGGCGAGCACGCTCCCGATGTCTGCGACTTCATCGCCGAGCTCCGCCAGGAGCAGCTCGAGGACTGCAAGGAGCAGGTCAAGCAGCAGATCCTCGCATCGGCGTACATGCACCGCCGAGCCCTCGCCAAGGACTTCTACGACTTCCTCGAGAACCCGACGTTCCACTTTGCGCAGTGGGTCTCGAGGCTCTTCAAGGACGGCTTCGGCGACGAGGACGCCGACAAGTGCCTGCGGGAACTGGCCGAAGCCGTCGGCTGCGACAGCGAAGGCATCGGTAAGGCGCCGGACAACGCGAAGCCCCTGCCCAAGTACATCGCCCGCTTCATGAACGAGAAGGACAAGAAGGAGAAGGGGTTCGACGCGACAGAATGGGCCATCGAGCAGACCGTCGTCATCCGCGACTCGGTCGTCACCCTCAACAAGCTCGCGAGGGAACTCGTCGGCCGCTTCCGCTCAGCTCGCTACTTCGACACCGTCCGCACCGTCCTCCGCACGACTGAGGACGACAAGGCCGCCGAGAAGGACACGCTCGCAATCCTCTCGTGCTGCGGCCACCACGGCAAGCTCGCCGATGTCGAGGAGAACGCCCGCTGGAACAAGTGCATCCACCCGGGCTGCGGCGCGCTCGTCCAGAAGCTCAACATCCTCACGGCCGAGTCGCTCGGCACGGACCGCGACTCGGGCCACTTTGGCTACAAGCTCGAGACGCTCGTCACGCTCATCCAGCAGACGCCGGAGGACGACCGCGTCCTCGTCTTTGTTCAGTTTGACGACTTGTTCGACAAGGTTCACGAGGCGCTCAGCGTCTACAAGATTCCGACGACGATCCTACAGGGCACATCGGTCCAGCAATCCAACCTGCTCACGGCCTTCCAGAAGAAGTCGGCCAACGGCGCAAAGGTCCTCCTCCTCCGCGCGACCGACTCGTCGTCGTCCGGCGCGAACCTCACCATCGCCAATTGGGCGTTCTTCGTCTCGCCTCTCCTCACTGACTCGAAGGCCAAGTACAAAGCGTGCGTTCGGCAACCTCTTGCCTCGTCCTCCTTCTGCGACTAACTCCGTTCCTTGGCTTCCGGACGCAGCCTCGCGACGCAGGCGATCGGTCGTATCCACCGCTACGGCCAGCTCAAGACCGCTCGGGTCGTCCACCTCCTCACGCATGCGACGCTTGACGTCCCAACCTTCTCAGAGCGCAACGACTGCGACGTCGACGAGGTGATGAAGACCCAGCCTACCCAGCGGGGCGAAATCGTGAACCCTTTGCGCTCGAAGGAGGGCAAGTGGGAGAGGAAGGGGAGGGCGCCTGCTACGAAGAAGGGGGGTGCGAAGAAGGCTAAGAAGGAGGAGAGTGAGGTGGAGGCGGTTGGGAGCGATGGAGACGCCAAGAGCAGCGATGAGTCGGATGGCGAGATGCTGCGCCAGGTCAAGAAGGCGGCGGCGAGGAAGGTCAAGCCTGTCCCGGCCAAGAAGGGCAAGGCGAAGCCTGTCGTCATCTCGGATGACGAAGAGGTCGAGGCGAACGAGAGTGAGGAGGACGAGGAGGAAGACGAGATGAGCCTCGAGGAGGACACGGAGAGCGAGGACGAGCGGCCCAAGGTGCGTTCGCGTCTCGTCTCGTTTGTGACAGCTCCGGCTTCTAACGCTCATCATCGCCTACAGAAACGCTCGCGCGTCGAGAAGAAGCGCAAGGACGAAGACGACTTCTCCGCCTCGGACGACGATTCCGATGCTCCTCCACGCCGCGCCGCCCCGCCCAAAAAGCTACCGCGTCGCATGGCGAGTGCTGGCAAGCCTCTTGTCCTCGACTCGAGCTCCGAGGAGGAGGAGGAGGAGGAGGAGGAGAAGGTCGTTGTGTCGGCGAAGAACAAGGGGAAGGGCAAGGCTAAGGCGCCTGAGCCGAAGAAGGCGGTCAGCAAGGTGCGTCTCCCGATCGTCTCCATGATTTTCAAGCTTGTCGCTGACTCGCCGTGCGCCTGCAGAAGCGCCGCATCGCCGACTCGGACGAGGACGAATCGGAGGACGAACCGCCCTCCAAGCGCGCCTCGACGAGCAAAGCTCCTGCCGCCTCGACCTCCTCCAAGCCCAAGTCGAAGCCGTCGTCGCCCGCCCAGCCGGCGTTCAAGAAGGCCCGCTCGTCCTTCATCGGCGTCGTGATCGAGTCGCCAAAGAGGAAGCAGTCGACGCTGGGACGGTTCTTTGGGAAGAAGCCGGCTGAGAAGGCTGCGGAGCCTGCTGCGCCGGTCGCTAAGAAGGAGACGAAGCAGAAGGAGAAGGGGGAGGAGATGGAGAAGAAGGTTGAGGCGATGCAGCTGGACGACGACAGCGACGACGAGCGCGAGACGACGCCTAGCCCGGTCAAGGTCAAGCCCGCCTCGTCGTCGTCGAAGGAGAAGGAGGCTGCGACGCCCGAGCCGCAGGACGACTCGCCTAGCAAGGAGCGTCAGGTCTCGCCCGAGCCGGAGAAGGAGAAGGAGGCGTCTCCCGCTGTTGCGGAGGAGGCGAAGGCCAAGTCGCCATCCCCTGCGCCTGCGCCGGTCGCCGACGCCCAGGAAGACGACGCCGCGTCGTCGCCTCGTTCTGCTTCGGCCGACAAGGAGGACTCGCGCTCGTCTGCCGCGTCGTCGACCGGCGCCGGCATCGACACGGCTCTCACGACACCGGCTTCTGAGCTGCAGCGTCAGCTCGGTGACAAGGCGTCGGTCGGACCTATCGACGAGGCGGAGGAGGAGGCTGCGGCGATGGAGGTCGAGGAGACGGCCGCCTGAGCGGTGGGTCGCGTTCGCTTGACGGTGTGATCAAGGGTTGTCGTTTGGGTATCTGTGCAGTCCGTCATTGTACGCAATAGAGTGTTCATACCACACAAACCGAGTCTCGCTTGAACATTTGGATGTCGTCGACTTCGCCTCGAGCTCAAGCCGCGAAGGTCCGCTTCATCTCTCGACTTCACTCTCGCACAACTCGCTAAAGAGGCCATGTCTGCTGTCGCTGCACCCGTGGCGAGCACGTCGGCTGCCACCATCGAGGCAAAGAAGCGCAAACGCAAGCGCACCCACAAGAAGAGCGCCGCCGCTTCGACAACCGACTCGAACGCTCCCGCTCCCGCCACGCCCGCTCAGCCGGCAGAAGAGGACGTCGAGCCGTTGATTGAGCCCGAGTTTGAGCCTGCGGCGGAGGAGGAGGACGCTGGAAAGAAGGGCAAGGGCGCAAAGAAGCGCAAGGACGACGGACGAGGCGATGCGGGTCCCGCGTTCGAGGTCGAGCACGAGGGGCAGGCGGACGGGACACAGTCAGGCGACGCAGCATCAGATGCGCTTGCGCTCATGACCGGAGCGAAGGTGGCGCCCGAGCCCAAGTCGCGGGCATTCTCGTCGCTCGACTTGAGCGAGGGAACGAGGAAGGCGATCGAGGGCATGGGGTTCAAGGAGATGACCGAGGTGCAGGCGAGGACTATCCCGCCTCTGCTTGCGGGCAAGGACGTCCTCGGTGCGGCAAAGACGGGCTCGGGAAAGACGCTCGCCTTCCTCATCCCCGCCATCGAGATGCTCCACCGGCTCAAGTTCAAGCCGCGGAACGGTTCGTCCTCTTACTCTATGTCTTCTTCCCTTACCATCCGTGCTGACGTTGATTTCGACTCGTAGGAACGGGCGCCATCGTCGTCACCCCAACCCGCGAGCTCGCCCTTCAGATCTTCGGTGTTGCCAAAGAGCTATGCGAGCACCATAATCAGACTTTCGCCATTGTCATGGGCGGTGCGAACCGCAAGGCCGAGGCGGAGAAGCTCGCGAAGGGCGTCAACCTGCTCATTGCGACGCCTGGACGATTGCTTGATCACCTGCAGGTGCGCTCAACGTTCCTTTCCACGTGCGATACATGTTGACTGACGTAACTTGCGTGCGCAGAACACGAAGGGCTTCGTCTTCAGCAACCTCCGCGCGCTCATCATCGACGAGGCGGACCGCATCCTCGAGATTGGGTTCGAGGACGAGATGAGGCAGATTGTCGCGCTCCTGCCTAAAGGTGCGTCGCAAGTGCACCTGTGAATCCGACGAAACTGACGAGTTCTGGGGTCCGCAGAGAACCGCCAGTCAATGCTCTTCTCCGCCACCCAGACGACCAAGGTTACCGACCTCGCTCGTGTCTCCCTCCGCCCCGGCCCGCTCTACATCAACGTCGACACGAAGAGCGAGACCTCGACCGCGAACAACCTCGAGCAAGGCTACGTCGTGTGCGACTCGGACAAGCGGTTCCTCCTCCTCTTTACCTTCCTCCGCAAGAACCTCAAGAAGAAGGTCATTGTGTTCTTCTCGAGCTGCAAGAGCGTGCAGTACCATGGAGAACTGCTCAACTACATTGACGTGCCCGTCCTCGACCTCCACGTGCGTTTCCGCCCTTCCCCTCTCACCACGCTCGAGTCGCTGACGCTGTGTCGCGCCGTCGCAGGGCAAGCAAAAGCAACAAAAGCGCACCAACACCTTCTTCGAGTTCTGCAACGCCCCCACCGGCATCCTCCTCTGCACCGACGTCGCCGCTCGCGGCCTCGACATCCCCAAAGTCGACTGGATCATCCAGTTCGACCCGCCCGACGACCCTCGCGACTACATCCACCGCGTCGGACGCACTGCGCGCGCGGGCAAGCAGGGGAAGAGCTTGTTGTTCCTCTTGCCGAGCGAGTTGGGATTCCTCAGGTTCTTGAAGGTCGCCAAGGTCCCGCTCAACGAGTACAGCTTCCCGAACGACAAGATTGCCAACGTGCAGGGTCAGGTGCGTCGCTCGTCCTCTTCATCTCCTCGGCGGTCCTCGCAAGGCTGACTTGGGTTCATCGTTCGCACAGCTCGAGAAGCTCATCGCCAAGAACTACTACCTCCACCAATCCGCGCGCGACGGTTTCCGCGCCTATATCCAATCCTACGCCTCGTACTCTCTCAAAACCATCTTTGACGTGACCCAACTCGACCTCGCGAAAGTCGCCAAAGCGTTCGGCTTCTCGACTCCGCCGGCGGTCAACATCAATGTTGGACGGAGCGCGAAGGGGAAGAAGAGGAAGGATCATCCGAAGGCTGGGGAGTCGAGTGAGGAGGAGAATGAGAGTGAGGAGGAGGACGAGAATGAGCGCGAGAGGAGGGCGAAGATGGCGCGTCGCGGGGGGAGCAACCAGGCGAAGCGTCGCGAGGTCGAGGGGAAGAAGGCTGAGAAGGATTTTTATCGTGAGCCGGGGAGGGAGAAGCTGAAGAACGCAGGGGGGACGCAGTGGAGTCGGTAGTCGACGGTGAGAAGGTGGCTTTCTCTCTTCGGTTCTCTCGCGTTCCCTCTGTTGTCCTTTAGCACCCAGCACTCGTTGTGTAACGCCTTCTGTCGCTGCATCTCGCATCTTCATGTCACCGCGGCTCGGTAGGCGAGGAAGAGAAGCCGGCGGGAGCGCAAGCGACAACCGCTCTGGGCGCCGAGAGAGCCAGTAAGGGAGCAGGGTGTCTGCCTCGTCCGGCCTGAGTAAGAAGCAGGATCGCTGGTCAGGTCGAGCACGTTAAGAAGCGGCGGCGAGTCGAGGAGGAGCAGGTCGCCGGCGTCGTCTCCGATGGCTCTCGGTGTGCGTCGGACACCCTTCAAGATTCTTCGCCACGCCCCTTAGACCCTCGAAACGCGTCCCAGCAGCGTAGGCGGTGTGAGCGAGCGCGAGGTGATGAGCTGAGCGCAGAGAACAGCGTCGGCAAGCGTCGCCCTCGCCCCGGTTCGCCCGGACGCTGTTCAGATGAGGACAGTGCAGTCGTACGAGTCTGAAGCGAGCACCCGGACTTGCCCGGCTGGTGTGCCGTGCGTGGACGGCGGGTGAGGCCACCTCGCTCGTTCGCTCTCTTTGTTGTCCAACTTGCGCTCGCGCTCTCTCGCTCGCTCTGCTGCTTCGTTGACCGCGACAATGCCGTCGCAGTACGTCTCGGCGCCAGCTTCCACCCCGTCCGCGCTCGGCGACGCCATCGAGCGCCTCACCGGCGGCAAGCTCGAGCTCCCTCAGTTCACGCCGACCACGGTCGCGACATCGCTCGTCGCGGTCGTCGTGACGCTGCTGATCGCAGAGCAGGCGCTATGGAGGAGCAGGAAGAGGCATCTCCCTGGCAAGAACTTCCAGATCGTGAGTCGCCGCCGCCGTTGTCCTCGTCGCGCCCCGACTTGCCGAGATGGCGCCCGACGCAGCGCACACATCGACCGAGGCTGACCTGGCGCGCGTATGCGATCCACAGCCCGTCATTGGACAGTTTGCCGAGTCGCTGAACCCGACGATGGAGGCGTACAAGCGATGTAGGCCCGCGTCCTTCTCGCGAGCGCACCCCGAGGTCAAACAAGCTGAACTTGGCCATCGCACACGCAGCATGGGCCACGCCGCTCGCTTCCGTCTCGTGAGTGCACTTCCAACAGTCTGCATCTCGGACTGAAGCTGATCAGACGCGTTTACCTGGCAGCGTGTTCAACATGTCCGTCCACCTCGCTTCTTCCCCTCCCTTCGGATTCTCCGGCTTCTTGTACGCGTTCTTAACTCCGCTTGCCGTGCGACAGCTTCATCGTCATTGCCTCGACGACCGACTATGCTCGCAAGATCCTCAACTCGTCCTCCGCAACCGAGCCTTGCCTCGTTCGCTCGGCAAAGCAGATCCTCCTGCGTGCGTAGCGGCGTCTTTCCTCGCTCTTCGGGTCTCATGCTGACGCTCTTTCGCACAGCTGAGAACTGGGTCTTCCTGAACGGCAAGGTCCACAACGAGTACCGCAAGGGCTTGAACGTCCTCTTCACGCCCAAGGCCCTCGAGTGCGTACACCTTGGTCACGCAAACCCCGCATTTGCTGACACGTCCATGTCCACAGGATTTACCTCCGCGTGCAGGACCAGATCTACCGCAAGTTCTTCAACTCGTGGCTTGCCGACTCGACTCCCGGTTTCCAGCCCTACCAGATGAAGTTCCGCGACCTCAACATGATGACCTCTCTCCGCGTCTTCTGCGGCTCGTACATCTCCGAGACGGGCGCCCAGGAGATCTCCGACAAGTACTGGCTCATCACCCAGGCTCTCGAACTCGTCAACTTCCCCTTCGCCTTCCCCGGCACCAAGGTCTGGAACGCATGCAAGGCGCGCGAGGTCGCCGTCAAGCACCTCTCAAAGGCTGCGGCGGACTCGAAGGCGGCGATGAAGGCTGGAAAGGAGGCGGATTGCTTGCTTGATGCGTGGGTCGAGCAGATCATTGCCGGCAAGGTCCGCGAGTACTCGGACAAGGAGATGGCGCTCGTGTTGCTTTCGTTCATCTTTGCCTCGCAAGGTGCGCATCGGGTCTCTCTCTGTCGGTGAGCTTCCGCTGTGGCAGACGAAGCTGACTAAGGCAATACCCGATGCGCAGACGCCATGTCGTCCTCAATCACCTTCGCCTTCCAGCTCCTCGCCGACCACCCCGCCGTCCTCGCCAAGATCCGCGAAGAGCAGTCCCGCGTCCGTGCGGGCGACCTCGACTCTCCTATGTCGCTCGCCTGGCTCGAGCAGATGCCCTACACCAACGCCGTCACCAAGGAGGTCCTTCGCTACCGCCCGCCGGTCATCATGGTTCCGTACCTCGCGAAGAAGGATTTCCCTATCAACGACGAGTACACGGTCCCGAAGGGAACGATGATCATCCCTTCGTTCTGGAACGTGCGTCCCGCCTTCTTCCCCTTCCCCTCTCTCTACTGAGGCTGACGAGATGGTCGATTGCAGTCCCTTCACGACCCCGAGGTCTACCCCGACCCCGAGGACTTCATCCCCGAGCGCTGGATGCCGGGAGGTGCGAACGCCGATGGAGGAGACTCGAAGAACTGGCTTGTGTTTGGTGCCGGCGCGCACAAGTGCATCGGTGCGTCTCGCTGCCCTCGCGGGCGCGGACGCGTTCGCCTCACAGGCGTGGGTCGGAGAGTCGACGACTGACGCATTCCCTGCTCCCGTTCGTAGGCCAGAACTACGTCTACATGCACATGTCGGCCGTCATCGGCTCGGCTGCGATGCTCATGGACTGGGAGCACGAGCGCACGCCTGAGAGCGACGAGATTCAGATCATCGCAACCCTCTTCCCCAAGGTGCGTTCCACTAGCGGTCTCGCAGCGCTGCCTGCATACATCGCTCGATGAGATGCTGACGTCTGATGTTGGACCCGTGCAGGACGGCTGCCGCCTCAAGTTCTCCCGCCGCGAGCAGCAGGACCTCTAAACGGCCTGTCCCTCTTCGCTCCTTCGCCTCCGATCGTTTCCTCCCAGCATTTCCGCGCATCTATGTCGTTCACCCACCCTCGTCTCGTCTCGTCTCGCTCGTCTCGCCTCGCTTATTCAGTGCCCGCCTTAATTCGCCCCCGCCCCGCCGCCTCGCCTCGTCTCGGCGGAGTTTCGTGACTTATTCCCTGCGGTCGGAATACCTCGCTAGATGGTTGGAATGGTAGAACGGAGGCCGAGCAGTGGGGGCGAGGGACGGGGCGCGAGGGAGGGAGAGGTATAGAATCTGGTTATCTTCTTGGTTGAATGTCAGTTTGAGTTCACACTTCGCCTGGTCCCCTCGAGGCGGGCGGTTGCCTTCAGAGGACTGTTCTGGACTGTATGCGCGCGTCGATTCTGCCTCCCTCGTCGACAACGAGTCGCTGCCGAGTGGCTGACCTTCCCAAACTCGCCTCGTCATCTACGTTTGACGCTCTCCCCGTGCACGGCTCTGCTTGTAGTGTCGCCAGAGCGAACATACGCGCTCGCCGCTCCGGTCGACGAGACCAGCTGCGCAGCTGCGTACGAGGTGATCTCCCTCGTCCTCCGCCTCTCTCCCTCCTCTTCTTCTTTCCTCTCGCTCTTCTCCCATAGCTTCGGAGACGACCCTTCGCATGCTCCTCTACGCTGTTCTCGCAACACTCCTCACCTGCTCCGGCATCGTCTCCGCTGCTCCGGCGCCAGGTCCGTCCCCCCCCCCCCCCCCCCCCCCCCCC